TAACAGTTTCTTTTCTCGTACTTCCCACCTGTGAAATTCCCTCCCGATTTCTTGCTTCTCTGATAACTACAATCTTGTAAAATTTAAATGCATCGTCAATCGCCATCTTCTGTCTTCTTGAACCTGATACTTTTTTGTCATTTCCTCAATCCTTCCAATTCTCGGCTTTCTCATTCTCTTAGTTTCACTCCCTGTACCCCCACCCCGAGGTCTAGTGACATTATTGCCTTGCTTGGGGTGAAACGATTAAAAATATGTCTTTTCGCTTATCTCTCATAATCCCTGTGATGACAAGCATTTACACAAGTCTCTGTCTGATGTTAAATGTGTCCTTTTTGTTTCCATTTTCACCTTCGTCGTTGATCACGTGTTTTGCCCATGGTATTCTCAGATTCCTTTTGTAGAATCTCATTTCTATTCATTTCTTCTTCATCTCATTTCTTCTTCATCTGTGAGGAATTCGTTTCGCATTCACTGCCATATAGTGTGGCCGATGTTACGTAACAATTCATTGCTCTTTTCTTTGTTTGAACGGAATTTTCTTGTTTCTTAATACTTGGCTTGTCGCATTTTCCGTCCTCTGTTAAAACCCTTTCTAGATCCTTTATTAAGCTTCTTATAAATCACCCCGATGCATGAGATGCCCCCCTTCACCAAATTTCGAAGGAAGAAATCGGGAAAAAAAAGTGTTTCCATGTATTTCATAGCCCTCCCCACTATCCCCAATTTTACCGACTGAATAGCATATTTCAGCTTGAATACCTGACTAACCATGAAAATTCATCACAGATCGAGATGATGTACCTAATTTGTGGTAACTATTTAGAATGTAATAATTAGAAGAGAATTTACAGTGCATAATACCACTAAAACATAACCTCATAGCAGCCTGGTATCCTCACTAATTCTAACGAATTCATTACAAACCAGAATTGAGCATTAATTTTAAATTATATGCAGGGCTCAGAATTGGGTGTAACCAGAGAGATAATACTTACTGAACACCCTAAACCTAAAACTTTGGTCAACGACCTTAGATTTATAGGACACAGGTTAGTTTTTAGAGATAAACAGTAAAATATGGTATTAAATTTTTTTTATTTGCTTCATTTGGGCATTTCATGTGAGGAAAAGTCGTGATAATAAGCAATTAAGATACAAAATGAATTCATTTTCCTGTCTTGCAGGCCAAGAAACTAAGATCTCTTTACTTTGTTTCAAATGCAGACACCAATTATTAATAAGATTTTTAGCTTTCTGCTTTTTAATTGGTGTCACTTCAAAATCACTTTGTACTTTTTTGCTTTTTTTCCAGGCCTAAAGCTCATTTCGGGCATTTGTTTAAGAATTTGACATTTATCACATCGCTCTACAGGCTGATATTCTTTACATTTTAGATTTGTTCGCATTTCCTTACAGATTTCCCCTGTCCCATCAATCTTGACATTTCTCTCCTGGTTGTCTTCATTTATTACAACTTTCACCTTCATTATAACCATTCTTCCATAAGTTGACGCCAACTTTAGTATACGTTATAATTCCACAATGATAATCCTGGTGAAAAACTAGGATGTGCGCTTTGAATGATAAATCAGAGAACCGAGTTCGAATTTCAGTCTGGCTCGTTGCATTCACATACGCGCAAATACCCTTGGGAATCGTATGAAAAAAATTCTTACAATCTAAACAATATTTTCTAGATTTAAATAACCCGCAAAGGGTTGATAAGCCGTAAAAACAAATGAACCAATCATTCAATCTATATTAAACCTGACATTACACCATATGCCATCCTCGCAGGTAGAAGATTAATTCTATCAGTAAAGTTCAGTCTGTAAGCAATGGACGTAAAATATTTGTGATCAAACGAGAAACTAAAGACTTGACAGGATAATATTTAGACAAACATTACTTAGAACTATGAAGGATGAGAAATTGTGGAGAGTCATGATTACCCAGTTGTTTGAAAATAACTCAGAATTTATCGAATATTTGAACAATATAAACTGATGGCGCTAATTATCGAATTTGTTCGAGAAAAAAAATCAATCTAATATGTCAATCAATGCATCGTGGGAAATATGAATATTGAAAATTGAAATCTAAAATTCAAACATTCAAGATTTGAAAAAGTGAATTTATGGAAATATCACATGGAGAAAGATTCGTTTGAAATGTTTCTATCTATAGAGGACTTTATTGATGAAAATAAATTGATTTGAATCATCCAAATCATAATCGATCATTTTGTGTGTTTCGAAAACTATTTCCGCAAATATCGGAATTAGACAGTAATCAATTAGATTGAAACCTAAAACTCATTTATCATTGAAAAAGGATGCATGAAAGCTCCCGAATAATTTGAAGAATACTCGTGTAGTTTTGAAACTTTGATTTTCAAGAAAAAAACTTGAATGTATTTAGGCTTAGCCATAAAGCCAGTGATGACAAATTCTAACTTTGTATTCTCAGCATCCATCATTGTCGCTTTGAGTCTCTTCGTTAACTGTAAGAAAATTTTCTAGCATTCACTGTAATATATGAGAATATATATGGCATCGCAGTCCAGCACCCTTTTCTTTAACGAAATTAAACGAATTTTTCCTATCGACGGAGGCATTCTAATTTCTTATACGACTAACAAACTACTTATAGTTAGTATAATCATAGGGTTTCGGTTGAGACACAAGCCGTTAGTTTATGTGTTCCCACAATTTTCTATCTGAATCGGAATACTTAGGTCTCGTCCATTGTCCTGTATGAAGGATCTTTTTGCAGGACACCATTGCAGTTCAATGGCACAAATAAGGTCTGTTAGATTAGTAGAATCCACACCCAACATCCTGTTGCTGATGTTTTCAATATAATAAGTAGTGGTTTCTTGTTGCTATGACTTACCAAAAGGTAATCCATGATTTGGTCCCAGAGTCACACCTGGTTTGGAATTCAAGGCTAGAGAGCTTAGTCTGTCCTGCTATTTAACCCATAGCTGAAGGAGATGAGATGGATTCATACCTTTCCCAAGAGTATTTGTGCCTAATTGAACGTAATGAACTTGACTGGAATTTGAACACTGATTTCTCATTCCGAGCTGCAAAGCTGTATATGATTGAAATCATGGGTTGCCTTTTGACAAATATCACCCAGAAGCCACTTATGCCAGTGTTACAGTGATCAAATCGGCAGTAGGAAGTTGGATATGGCCAATGTCATATTGATCACAACACAGAATAGCCCCAAAACAATGTCCTAATCTTTTTTGACTACACAGACGTACATAATAATGTCATGTTGCTTCTATCTTGTCACCCTGGTGATTTTAGGTATACATATGTATAAGGAGACACAAGGTGCTATTCTATGTGTTCCCGCGGTTTTCCCTCTGACTCGGAATAATTAGGTTTCGTCAACCTGTCGAGTATGAAGGATCATTTTGCAGGATACAGTTGCAATTCAGTGCCACAAATCTGGTCTGTTAGATTCTACCATTGACTACATCCAATGTCCTGCTGCATATGTTTTCATCATAACCCTGACAGGGGTGGCTTCCGGGTGCTATGCCTTGTCAAAGAGCAACCCGTAATTTGGTTCCAGGGACACATTCGGCTTTCAATTCGTAGTTTTCCTACTCCTAGACTGGCTGCTACTTTGCTATTTGATCTATAACCGTGAAAATAAGGGACATTTCGACGTGGTGTAAGCTTGTCTCGCTAGACCAATTACGGATGAATAGCGAGTTCAATGTCACTGGGTGCCCCATACTTTCGGCCTTGTGCCACATCTAAGCTACGCTTAGAAAATTACCATAAATATGAAAAAAGTGATGGCTTCATGCCTTTAACAAGGACAATTGCGAGTAAGTGAATGTAACGAACTCAACTGGAATTTGAACTCAGTTCCCCAAGTTCTCTTAACGAGCTGTTATCTGTTACACCACTCGCACACCCAGTTTTGACTATTATTTCTTTCATCTTATCTTTCTGTTTTGTGTATTCATTTATTTTTCAATTTGGATGCAGTTATCCTGAATATGAAAAGAAAAGAATAATTTATCGAGATTCGAACTCGTATCCTTAGTAGCATGCTTTCTACAGCAGCTGCGTCACTGAAGAAGTGAAGAAAATCAGTCCCCTCAGTTATATTCCCTATTTCTTCTCTTAACCTAAATGGAATTTGGAAGTGGATGCTTTATTTAATCTACGGCGATAAATGTGTCGCTATCTATCACTACGTGTTCACATTTGGAAAAACAATGAAAATCTCAAACGAAATACTTTTCTATTCTTAAGAACATCGAAAGTGCTTTAATACCAGCACATCTTAAAATTAAGAACACGGACATATGTATTGTGTCGAAATAAACAAACACATCCGACCACTAATTTGAAGGTAATCTTATCTAATAGATTTTTATTCTTTAATGGAGTTTCCGTTTATCTTTATTTGTTTCTCTTTTCGACCCTCTTGGTTATTATCAGGAGGTAAATGTCTTAAGTATCGTAGACAAGAGTTTGTTAGCTAAATCCTGGCATCCAGGTAATCGAATAAAGACGAATAAAAACTTGAAAAGATTATCTACAATTTCTATCCGAAAGTGAAATAACTTATTCGAAAATTGGAAAAATACAATAAAACAGACATATTGTGTCGGTTGAAGAATTCAATAGAACTTATTTAAATGAATTCTTCTTACCGATCTCGTTCTTTTTGGTATTGCTCTGTTATTACTCGCTATGTTCCCACTGGGTCAGAACTAGCCAGCCTCGGGATTAAACGCACAATTACTATGCCAGCAAATGCAGGAACTAAAGCATTAATCCTCAAGACTATTATATAGACAAAAGAAAATTCTTTTTGTGTGCCAATTACAAAGTTTTGCTTCGCAATGAAAGTAGTCGCTGCAGAACTTGATCTTATGGCCAGCCATTGAAAATCTGACCAGTTTCTTTACTTCTCTAAGCAGACGAGATCTTGTGCGTTCAACGTGATTTGACTGTAAGGTTGGGTAAGCCTGTGTGTTCGTTAAAAGATTTTTTACTGAAACTCTCTCTCTCTCTCTCTCTCTCTCTCTCTCTCTCTCTCTCTCTCTCTCTTCGTATTTCTTTGAATCGTGTCTCCTCCGATTTTTAAGAAATTAAATTTTATTTACGAACAAGAGAGTTGGAACGCTAAAATTCTGAAATATTCTCACCATCACCTGTATTTTAAGGCTAGATTCCAACTTTATCCATTTCCTTCTCAACTCTTCCCATTTTTTTGTCTTCTGCCTCTGCTCCATTTTTCTCTCTGACTCCAGGCGGGGTAGAGAGGTTGGTGAGACGGTAATAATGATTGAAATTCTTTGTTCGTCGGAATGTTTTTTTGGCAAGAACGAAAGCGCCAGAAGTTGGGAAGGAAACATTGGAAATGGAGGACTAGTAGACTGAATTAAGGTGAGTGTGCCAGATAATGAGACATTTCAAAGAATAACAAGGAAGTGAATGGGTGAGGAGGAGGAGGAGGAGAGAAGAATTAGAGGAAAGAAAAGGAAAGAAAGAGAAAGTATATTTTCCTTCTTTTAAGTCGGTTAGTGTTTTGCCCTTGTTTAGGTAAGGAAATTTGAACGCAAGCAGAAAATGAAATTAGAATCAAATTTCCGGTAAATTGATTTATTCCTTGGCCAACACCTTGATTTCTTCACGACGTTCCTCCCCTACTAAATAAATAAATAAAATAATAAAATTAAAAATCGGATTACAATAATTTAAAAAGTGTCCAAGCGAGTAAAAAGAGAATGGTTATGAAAATAAAAATATTGGGAAAATATACAGAAAAGACAAACATCTAACACATTTATATAGAAAAGACATATAAGACATTTATCTAGAAATAAGAGAGAGAAGACGTCCGTCTGGCGAATTCATATAAAGATAACATTTAAGACACTTATAACGAGAAGGCATTACGCCATTACGTTATTTTTAGTGGATACCCGTATTTGAGTAGACGCTCCGTTTATTTTAAACAGAATTTATTTTGTCTACCGGCCTGTGTACCTTTCAAATCTTAATAAAGAATATGTGCCCTTCGGCTGGATTCGAATGCGTGTCCCCGTTTGCTGGATGAATCAGCGTCTGATCCGACACGTTCGGCCACGAAACAAAGAGCTCCACAATAAAGGAAGGTCCTATTTTGTCATTAAAACACACTGACTCGTTCAGATCTCATCAAAATAAACATCTTCTCAGTTTCGTATCCGAAACGTAAACAAAGCCATTTCGAAAAAATGAATGGATTTTATTTTTTTTGATCCGATATATTTTTAATACGACACATCAAAGACATTTATAGGGAACACACTTGTCAAGCACATTTAAATAGAGCAGGCATGGGCCACTTTGATGTAGTGTCATGCTTAGCAAGCTTAAGCAATTACGGCTGAGTAGTTAGTGCAACCCATACTGGGTGCTCCATACTTGCAGCCTTGTGCCATATCTAAGCAACGCTCAGTAAATAACTATAGAAAAGAGATGCTGTTTTTCTGTGTAAATGTCTTCGATGTCTTCTCTATGTCTATGTCATTTATATCTTAGACGTTTTTTTATGTTTTAGACGTCTTCTCTAGATAAATGTCTTCGATGTCTTCTCTATACAAATGTCTTAGACGCCTTCTTTAAATAAATGACTTAAAATGTCCTCTTTATAAATATCTTAGATGTTATATAAAACAAGATATCTAAAATTTACTAACACGTCGACACTCGATATCTTGCCGATACACTATCTTGACATACTTTGAGCAAATGTTGCTATTTCAAATCGCTTTCAAATCAGTAATAAAGTGTAGCAAACGCCAAATAAAATTTGCTTATATAATCAGCATTATTCGACATTTATATGAGGCTTTTTAAACTTCAGAAGGAAAATTGTCCCAGTAGTTTGTGGAACACCGTCGAAGAATTCCTTTCACAGCTATTATTCTTGTTCTTTTGGGAAACCCTAGTAGTTATTATAATCAGTTACACGAGAATTCGTCCACCATGGCGGATATCGCTCGACTTCGTCTGAAAACACAGTCTACAACAACGTTGAAGACAAAGACTATTTAACCCATAGCAGCTGGAGAAGAAGAGATGTAGTCATATCTATCTCTTTTTCCAACTCCCTCCCTCTTTCTCTCTCTCTCTGTTTATCCTCTCTTTATTTTGCTCTCTCTGGCCTTGTGCCAGTTGATCAAAAATCTATATTTTAGTCACGTGTATGCAAATCCTTGGGATGACAGCTCACTCTCGAATGATTGGCGTAAACTACCTAAGAAGTGATGGTCAGTCACATGGAACGAGTCGCCTAACTACTAAATGGAAATTAAACGTTACCGAGTTACTTGATGCCAGTGATTTTACCGAAATATCTAAGGAATTTCTGATTGAGTTCATTTCTATGAGAATAAAACGGATAAAAAGTACATTAAACAACTAAACTTGTTCGGAATTTCGTATCACTCAGCGATAAGTGATAAGGCGATAACATTATCGCCATTAATAGGACAATATACACATACCTGGCCACTCGTATTCGAGGACATCCGTCTACTAGAGCAGCTAGCCAATCCCTATTGCAGACGTTTGCTCAGGCATATTTGTGTTTGTTCAACACCCACAGAGCCCACCTGTGGCTTATACTGCAACTATTCTGAGCAGACCTTAGTTACAGTTTCTGGGAAAGAGCATGTTATCTAGCGTGATCAACAATCTGAACAAGGCCAGCACGCTCAAACCCTTGATCACGATGACTTGTGGCTTCGTGCTAGCAGAGCTATAGACGGTCCCCAGGGGTAACATCTACCCAATTTCGTTCTCAAAGCTTGGGTCAACCAGTGGTATGATTTTCAGGCACTTTCCGCATGCTGGGATCGACCCCTCCAGTCCGATAACATCAGGAAGTCTCCTGGTGAGAAATCGAACGTTCTAACCACTCGGCCACGTACCCATACTAGGACATTATTATTATTATTATTATTATTATTATTGAGTGCGAGCGAAGCATGCCTACAAAATGACGCTAGAGTACAAATATACGATGCCCAATATACCAGGCACATGCATCATAGCCAAAGATGCACGATATTTCACCGGGTAGATTATTCTCAAGGACACATGGTCCAGTGGATAAAGGCGTTGGTTAGATCCAGTGACTAGACCCAAAGAGTTGTGAGATGACGGCACTGGTGAACCAAACTTGGTGAGTTGAATTAAAGGGAAATAACTGAGACATCCGGAAGAGGAATGGCACGTGGAACGAAATAAAGGGTTCGTCCGAAATTCCAATCACCCGAAGAAGGCCGGAGCGTACAACGGCCGAAACGTTGTGAATATTGCAATAAAGATGAGGATAACAGTCCGAATAATGTAAATAATCCTAGCAATCATAATACCTCATCGCAGAGATAAAGACAGATGATTCTCTTTATTAATAATATTTCAAAAATAAATTTTTATGAAACTTTTTTTGAGGAAGATTAACTGTTGTAAAGCGTAATTAATCTGAATTAAAACAGATGTTACTTTTTGCTTAAAATATCGCAGAGTAGTATTTTTGACAGGTTTATCGATAGCTTAATGCTTGGCATTTATAACAAAAGGGAATCTAACTGTAAAATTACTTAACGGATACGTGAATGCTTTCTTAAAATATTTGTTAAATACCCAGTAATCTTTAAAAATTACGAAAATATTAAACTAACAGTATAAATAGTAAACTAATATTTTATTGAATTTAAGTACATTGGATATATAGACTTACTTACGTAGACGTTCGTTGAGAAAATTTTAGAAAATTACCAATAAATTTTACATTTACAATTGCCGCTCTTATTTTCTGATAATGTCCTTTACGGACGTCTGTATTTACAAAAATCGGCACATTTAGAGACACATAAAAACATACAAAATTCTATTTAAAATACTTTTGGTCGCAGAATTGTAATAAAAATTTCCATTTTTGATTAGTAAATATAGTTTTTACTTAATAAGAATATCTCCTAACTACCACAAAACAATATAAAATATTAAAAAGGTTTAAAACTTTATAAAATATTATAATTAAAATAAAAAAACAATTAAAAATGCTTGTAAAAATTCATTATTCATCGAAAAGCAATATGTACATAATATATCTTATTCATATAAGTAATTAAGTTTTTTCTAATTAAATAATGTCTTAGTTTTATTGCATTTTTTATTATTCGGAACAGATTTTCTGTAACTGGAAGTCCTGTTTGACAAAAAAGTTGATTTAAATTCTTCAAAGATATGTCTTTATAATTAATACAAATATTAATCGCTACAAAAATGAATGTCTTGTAATTTCAGAAAATTAAATAAGTGTCAGGGGGTAACAGATGTCAAAAATATTTTTATCAAGATTTTCGAAAAAAAAAAAAAAAGAAACATTTTTCATTTGTGAATAATTCCTGAAAGTTTCATTAAAATCCGAGAATTATCTGATTTTTGCAAGAATTTCCAAATCAATGTATTTTTCACCGCAGAAAGACGCTGAAATTTATGGTCACACGTTCACGCGGGGGAAAAAAAAGTCTTAACCAAAATTTCAGAGGTTCGAAAAAAGATTAAAAAAAATAATTCTTCACTAAATTCTGACGTTTGTTCGTTGAGTCAGATTTTGTAAAGTGGGTCGGACAGATAACTTCTCTCTCTCTCCCCCTCTGTCTGTCTGTCTCTCTTACACACACACACACACATTTGTATATATAATCTTCAAGCGGAAGCGACAAGAATGGCAAGATTGGTATTAGCAAACAAAGGAAATTAATAAAACATCCTTTGGTCTTTCCTAAAAGATTTTGACGATACAATTTTTTTTTAAGTTTTGAGCATTTTTTTAATTTTTTTTTTATCATGTACGGTCATTTTTTAGCGAATCTTTGGCGGTATCTATCTCTCTCTCTCTCTATATATATATATATATAAGTGCCAATATGAGGTAGTTTCTGTTGGTGTATTTATATGTCCGAATTCTGATTCAATTACTAGGAGACATCAGATTCTCCAAAACTGAATGTTTCTGTAAAAAAAACAAAAAAAAAAAAAGACTAAATAAATAAAAAGAAAACAACTGGCACAAAATATTCA